GTGGGTGTGGGTGTGGGTGTGGGTGTGGGTGTGGGTGTGGGTGAGTGTGAGTGGGTTGTGTTCTGAATTCATCGCACACCCACAGTCATATCAACACCGACACGCATACCCACATCTCGTAAATGGCATGAAGAAGAGTGAGTACAGAACGGAAAAAAATTTCAGTATGGAAAGGGCTAAGCATTGTTATTTTAAATTTTTGAGGTCAAATTGAAAGATTGTTTCGTCGTGATGATGATGATGGTGACATGGTTGCTGTTATTACTTGTACTAGAGATGATTTGTGTTTATTTCCATTTAATTTACCAATACTTGGATGTAAATAAGTTGTCCAAAGTGACATATTTAAATCAAGTAATTTCAATTCATGTTCGAGAATAGCAGTTACTTATATATTGTCAATGGTCACACTATTGACACTTGATTGAATAATACTATTGATAATTTTGGTATAAGTGCAGTTTATGTAAACACCTTTGTTTTTGTGACTTTTGAGGGTGATGGTTGGTTATATAAATTAGATTTGTTTCAGAACTAAATATGCAGTTTTTGTAGAGCGAAGTTGGCTCTATCGATTGGTATATTTGACTTGTAACAAGTCTAGCTTATATAAACAACCGCCACCTTCAAAAGTCATAAAAACAAAGGTGTTTACATAAACTGCACTTATACCATAATTTCTTGAAAATTTTTATCTGTTTTTGATAAATATTTTGGTATATCAATATAAAAGAGCTTCACAATATCACTTTTGAATTTTTTTACTGTTTCTTGAGGTGGAAGGAGTCTGGTCTGAATTTCAAGAAAGTTTAATTATCTTGCAATTCTTTTCAAGATTTGATTTTTAGTTTTAATCAATCAAGATTCTTTTATCTTGAATTTCTGACAAGAATCTTTTTCTCTTTTCCTGTTAAAAGAACATTGTCCAGTGTTTATGAATAATAAGAGTCTTGTCTGATAATCAAGAAAAACAAGAATCTGGCCAAAACGATGCAAGATCACCGACTAGTGTCTTTATCATTTATATTTCAATCGATTTAAATAACTTCAAACGGCTAATTTCGAAATAATAAGATAAAACACATTTTTATCGGTATCCAAAAGGAGAGAATTCTTTAGAAACAGTGTCATTTTTCAATATGTTTCAAACGGATTATATACTGTTGATTAGATTTTCGAATTCCGATTCGTTAGCAAAAAGTAGTTTATTGATTTTTTTTGTTAAAAGAAATAAAATTTTTATAGTTAATTCACAATAAAAAGAATAAATCAACGTGATTTATTATTCTTGGTTTAATAATCGAGAAAAAAAGAAAATCTTATAGTTATTCAAACTCGTCCTGTCCAATATAAAATATTTTTCTGTTATTCATGATTTAGTAATAGTAAAATTCATCATCACTAGCTTCAAAACCATAATTACCATGTGTTTGCATAAGATGTTCATAAATAAAATTACCATATGGTTTTACACATAACCAACACCAATGTGAATAACATGCTGTACATGTAATATGATTGCAACCACCGTTTTTACTTGTTGCTACGCCACAAATTTCATTTGTAGTTTTATCTAAACCTGGACAATATTTAACATTAAAAGTTACAGGAATTTTACGACTATCAATACAATCATCACAGACAAAATCTTTTAACACCGGAATTTCACCATCTGCACTACAGATTTTTTGTTGCGCCTTTTTAACTTTATAACATTCAAGACACCACCCGTAATACCAATGTTCATCAATATCATCTTTTTTATCAGCTCTTAATATAGTGCATGCTTGCTCATTATACTTTTTAAGAATTTTTGCACGTGGTGCTTGTTTACAAAATGGACATAGTAAGTTTGCAACTAAAACAATGCTACCCGGTTTTACAGTTTGATACCAATTTGTTAAACATTCAATACATGTTTCAGCACGACATAATTTATTACCACATGAATTATCCATTTGAGCACGTCGCACATCGCTACAACAGATATAACAAGTAACGCGTTCGGATTCACCACTTTGTATCCATCCCATGATTTGATCATACACAATTTTAGGGTTTAATATTGGTTTTCGACAATTAATCAATGGTACTGATGATACATTCATGTCTTCTGTAGGTTCTAATTCAATTCTATCTTTTAATTTAAATAATGAAAGGTTCGTAGAAAAGATATTTATATCATCTTTAACCTTGATTTTTAAATATTTGTATAACTGTTCTTTATTTTGATTCATTAATGTACTAATATCAATTTCAACATTCACAATAGTTTTACTAGTTGTTGTATGTTGACATTCAGCACAAACAAATGTGTATTCTTCTCCAGGATTTGGTTTTGGTTCAGTTGAATCATAATGAACATATTTATTTTGACAACTGGTACAACGGCGATATGGTGCTACTCTTGATTCATTTCGACAATAATGACATTTGCGTTTTGAAGACATCAACTTCTCATATTGAACTACGGCATATAAACAATTACATATTGAACATTCTGCTAAATGTGAAGAATCATTTCCGCATGGTTCAGGTTTATTTTTTAGGTTATAACATGGCAAACATAATGCACAACAACTTTTGCCAACATCTGGAAACAGTGTAGTCGATCGAAGAATATTACATGATTTGCATTGAATTTTTGTATCATGATGAATTTCTTCCACTTGTGGACTGAATGGTTGCTGAAGAGTTATATGTGTATCAGCATTTATTTTTAATCCACCTAAAACATGTAATTTTTTTATTTGTAAATTTTCATCATTAGTTAAAAATTCGGGTAATTTAACGCAGATTTTACTAAATTCATAACTATTATTTTCTGGAAATTCAAAATCAATCCATTTGCCTTTTATTTCTGTTAAAAATCTTGTAGCTCGTTCTTGTAATATGGCATTCTTTGATAATACACATAACATAGCCATAATTGCAGCTGGACGTAATGAAAATTTAAGACCTTCTGCTAAAAGATGCGGTAATAATTCAAATATTTCGCTATCATTGAGATTTAATGGTAAATAGTTTTCTGGTAAATTTGATTCATTTGCCACAACTGTTAGATGATTTAATAATTTCATGACTTTTCGTAGTACATCTGGATTACATGATCTAGTAATTCCCAATAGTTCACTTCGAGCAATTATCTTATCTAATGTTAATACAATAGCTGGTGTATGTTCTTTAATTTCAGCAAATCTAACCATAATTTCTTCTTTAGAATTGTAACTTTTTTCAATCCATGCTCGAATTATAGTTGCATCTGTTGACAGTAATGGATTCATACTCATTGTATTTAATAATTGTGATAACGCTGTTGTTAGTTGATCTGTACGATGATCCTTTCTTTGTTTACAAATTACACGCCATAATAACCCTAATATACTGTTGCTTGTTAGTGCAAGAATATGTTGTGGTGTCATCAAAGATTCGAATATTTCCAGTACTAGACATTTGTATGAGTCATCTGTTTCAAATTTATTTAACATAAAGCGTAAATTAACTACCATACATTGAATAGGGTCAACATGAAATGATTCGGTATGAATCGGAGCTGATCTAGTCAACTTTCTACTAGGTAAGTACATGAGCCCTTTATATCTCGCATTCATTTCATTTTTAAGAGCAGATAATTTAACGTCGGTAAAACTTAAACATTCTACTAAATCAGTTGTTTCACAATCCGCATTATATAAGCTAGAATACAATTAAAAACAATATTTAAGTGTTAAATTTTCGATGAACAAAATATAATCAACTGAATGAATCACTTATCTTAGTACTCTAATCAAGAGTCCGTGACGATTCATTGGGCACTCCCTGACGACTCCCTAAATTTGGTGGAGGTGAGGAAACATAAAAACTTCCCAAGGAGTCTCCGGGGAAGTCCTCAGAGATTTCCCTAGAAAATCTCTGGGAACTTATTAGGGAGTACAAAAATGGAGTCACTATTTTCTTTTGTGTGTATTAAAGTATATAAGAAACATAAAACTCAAAGGAAAAAATAGTTTATTTTATATATTTACATTTTCTACGTGACAAATAACATTTGAAACTCTACATGAGGCATCTCAGAGGCAACTCATTATTTCGAAGTGGATTGTAATTTAATCTGTGGGAGTCATCCGCTAGGACGGAGTCTACTGAAAAGCTTAGATGAAGCATACTGTGAAATAAAAAGATTTCCTTGGAAAAAATGTTTCAGTTGATGCGATCAGAGAAAAAGTTAAGAAATTGCGAAAGAATGCATTAGACCTTATAAGAATCATGCCAAGCCTTAAGAGAGTCCGTGAAGATTTTTTTAGAGACTCCCTGAAAAGTCTCCTAGGACTCCCTGTTGTGATTCGGCGGGAATTCACCAAGGGATTCTCGATTAGAGTAAATGTGACGACATTGTTACATCGGTTCTTTCTGATTATTTTTCTTCCTATTATCTAGATCTCTTTCTCTTCTAACTGAACTTTCCATTCTCTTTCTTCTTGTTTCGCATATTAACGATGCAATTCTTGATAAGAAGAAATACAATAGAGCGTGATTCCATCAATACTACTTCTTCTTCTATCTAATAGTAGTCACAGTAAACATGTGTTTCACCTGAGAAATAAGTTAAGAGTAGCTTTTGTAATAGTTTTTACATCAGTATTTTTTAAGAATAATGTTTTGCCCTGTGTATATTGACTTAGTAGTATATAAAATGATGCGATTTCAAAATCTGTACTATTTATAATTGGAAATACTTTGCAACCAGCTTTTTGATATAACTTGCATAACTGAATCCAATCAGATTCTTTGACGCTTTTTTGTTCACGACTCCATCAAGAGCCGCCAGTTGTTGGATGATGTGGTGGCGCATCGGTATAAATAATTACTACCGTATTAGTGTCGACTAAATTCATATCTAATGCTTTATTTAATGCTGTTTTTGCTGCTTCTGGTATGTCTTCTCCATAGCATGGTCTTAAATCTTTAAGAAATGCGCAGATTTTATCGAAATCAGTAAAGTATCCAGAAAAATCCGCGACTTTCTCAACAGATTCATCATAGTCACGATACCCTATAAAAACGATATAATTATTACAGAATCAGGAATTATGAAGGTAGCTTTCATTATTTTTAATTATTAGTTCATTCAAATAGATTCGAAAAACAAACCTGTTAGAATATTTTCATCAATCACATCAATATTACTCACATAGAATTCCAATTTCGGACTGTTTCTCCGAAGTTAATTTCATGATTGATAGAACTTGATACATGGATACTGTAAGAGAGTCCAAGAATGCTGTCATAGATCCAGTTGCATCAACAACAAATAGAACACGATAGCTAGTTTCATCATTTGATTCCGACTGTACAACTGGTTCAGCCATAGTTGTTGTTTTGTGAATGTGTGCAATAATGAACGAATAAGACAAACTAACTCTTGTATTTATAGCACGAATATGGCAGATATTTCTTACGTCATATTGAAACTTGCTATTTTCAAGAGCTTTGTCACTTTATGATGCAACAAAGCCATTCTTACGTCATGCATGTGTCAGCTTTACCGTATTATTCATATTGCAGGGTTCTATTTCATATGGGAAAGAAACTATTTTTAAAAAGTACTCTCATAAATGATTATACTATTTCATAAAAATGACTTTGTTACATCAGCACGCTATAATAAAATGACACATAAATCAAACAAAAGACAAAGAACGAAAAAATCCGTTATGGTAAAACTCCCACATCTTATGTTTGATAAACTTGTGAAAGAGAAACAAATATTTACCAAAGTTTATAGTCATTTGCAGGGGTGGGGTGTGAGTCATAGCAAACTACACAAGGGGGAAAAAAGTAGACTTCTGTACTTCAGAAGTACAGAAGTCTGGGTGTGGGTGGGTGTGGGGTGTAGGTGGGTGTGGGTGGGGTGTGGGAGCGTGGGGTGTGGGTGGGGTGTGTGGGTGGGTACCCATACCCACACCCACACCCACACCCACATCCACCCACACCCCACGCCCACACCTCACAGCCACAGCCACACCCTTGTTAATACTGATCACAGATCGTATATGACTAAAGGCTTGTCACACTATATTATTTACTTTTTTTATTGCATTTCTCAAGGACCAAGCAAAAACAGGATGAAGACAACAGCAACTACATTGTGTTTCACATTTTAATTCCGCAGAGATTACGCTAACAGTTTTTTCGACAGATTTAAGATTTACCATTCATAAAAGTCTGTAAAGATGGACATAAATTCTACTATAAACCTATACAATTAAATAATTGATCATCATCGTTAGATCCTCTGAGCTAGCCAATCTAATTATTATACAGAGATATGCCATTAGTAGATGTTCGCAAAACATTGTTGCCTCATAGAAATTTAATCGATAGAGCATTTTGATATACCGTCTATCACTTTCTTTTTGTCAATCAATTTTTCGACATTGAATCGTTTAATCGCTCTAATTCAATTGAATTATTCAATCAAGTGCTATTTCAACACAACACCAGATATCACGTCAATCAATAATATAACTTAGTTGAGCTACACTAGACTTAAGTTATCATTGAATCAAATACGATGCGTCATTCAATGTTAACGATAGAAAGCAATTCTTTTTTTTGAAAATCCAAATCGATTTCGAATTATTCTTCAAAAAAGAAATATACGCGTATCCTTTAAGAGCCGAACATTCTTCTAAAGTAAAACTCGAACAAATAATATACATACGATGATGTTCCAAAAAATAGTTCTTGTAAAACAAAACAAAATAACGTTTATTATAACTTTTCTGTTATCTGACAAAATAACAGTTTTATTAAATAAAAAAGATCGATAAACATTGCATGATTATTAAACAACAAAAAATGCTTTAAATAACATCTGGCTTGTATATTAAATTGAGAAAAGGTTTATAATTTCAAATCAGCATTTTCTTGATTATTGATTCAATCTCTGGTGTAAATTGAACAATAGATTATTCTGGAGGTATTTGGAGCTGCTCGTCAGGTCATTGTTTGAGATCTACGTTCTGCTTCTTGCTTGATCATCGCTTGTTGAATATGTGTTGGTAGACCTGGATTGAGACTTAAAGCGTAAGGCAACAGTGTTTTGTGTAAATCTTCAAAATCAACCATAATTTTGATGAACATTGTGTCATCTCGTACATATGGATTTTTTTCCTGTTGAACTATTTCCAATGGGATAAATTTTGGTATACCACTGGCGATATTCATATCCGATCGAGGTCGTTGAAAACTATTTGATTTAATGTCTGGTCGAAATGAATCGATAATATGTCGTTGTGTAGGTGTTTGATCGTACAAACAAAATGTGACTTTATAGTTGAACGGAAACTTGAGAATTGGATCGTTCACACTTCGCATAAGCACAAAAAAGAGTGACATATGTGTACGACGAGCATTTCCATCACCATTTAAATACAAACGAGCTCTCATTTTGTAACCATTTGGAGATGAATAAAATGGAGGTGAATAAATACTTATTTGTCTTTCAGACTGGGTATCAACTAGAAATTAAACAAACAAAAGATACATGAAGTAGAACTGAACTAAATATAAAGAAATTCAACGGATCAATAACATTGATAATTTATTTTCATCAATATATCAATAGATTACTTATATATTGTATTTCAGAGTAATAATATATTATGTTCTATGTAACGTTCGATCATATTTGTATTATTTATCGATTTTATAGAACTCAGATAATATGTGATTGTCGAATAACTTTTTCGAAAAAGTAGTCTGTTTTTATGATTCAACATAAGGATGATTGTTCAACTTACTTAACTTCTCTTTAAAGTTTGAAATTTTCCAAACTAATGTTCCATCATATGAAACATATTGTAAATCATTGATTTTTTCTTGCAATGATTCTAAATCTTGATTGAGAATGTCTTGATTATGTTTCACTCCTTTCAAAAAACCATTTGATTCTTCAACAGATAATCTAACTTTTGATAATTCTTCTGTCAATGTTGGAAGTATAATTTGAATTTGAAGTGATTCATTGCTTAGACGTTGTTGGTCATTGTTCAATGTTTCAATGCCACCTGTCAAGATATCAAACATTTCATAAAGCTCTTGTAATTGAATTGTAGCAGGATTACAATCTCCTGCAGTTGTTATTCGAGGAAGATCATTATTCATTGACCTATCAACTAATTGCGATAACATTTGACGAACAATTTTCATTATGGCACATTGATGTTCTTCATTTAAATAATGATCTTCCATTTCGGTACGAATAATCTAAAGAATGAGACTTTTCAAACTTCAGCTTGATCTAGATAATATTCATACTCGTTCATTACAACCAAACTCTTTCAATTTACAATCAATAGTCAAGTTTTGACACTCGGAAACTTTATGTTCATTGAATTTGTTAGCTGAGTTGAACTGTTCACCACAGTATTCGCACTTCAGATTTGAATGTGATTCATCAAGATGTTTCTTTGGACGAAAAAGATAGAAGGTTCCAAAATAAATTTAACATAAAATAAATTACTTGATAATTATCTAAGATGCCACTCCATTGACAAAAACAACAATCAATATGTAGTGATTTCATATCATTTTTGAATCCTCGGTCAAGTATTATCTACATAAATGAAAAGTGTCTTCTGTTTAATTACGAACAAATATCTTACCTCGATACGTGATGTTTCTGATTGACATTGTCGACATTTAATTGTCGTTCTTTAAAAAGAACAATTAAGAATAATACTAGAAATCGATAATGAAACTTACTCATATTGAGCATCCAAGCATGATTGGCACTGTCGATGTCCACAATTTCTGAATTGTACAGGATCTCGTAATATCAATAAACACATAGGACAAATATAGTTTGTGCCCAGAATGTGTTTATTCTTCACATCGATGCCTACCATTATTTTAATTTGATTAATATGAAACGAAAATTCAATAAAGCTTGAATGTGAAATCAATTTCCTTTTATCTATATAATTTTTTTTCCCGTTTTCTTTCCTGATCAAGAAAATTTTGAAAAATGTCAAAAGCAATCAAAATAAATTAGTTTTTGAACAAGTGAACAAATAAAAATAATTTTTGAAATGAAGAATTCTAAAAAAAATGTATCTAAAATTCAAAAATTACTATTAAAATATAATAAGAATTTGAAACTTTTTAAATGAAAAACAGTTAGGCGTTCAAAATAGATCCATACACTACTATTAGACCAAACCTTTAGCTCATTCCAAACACGTTGGTGAAGCTTTCGATTGTAAATAGATCATAATTGACGAAAATCATTCGAACATCAATAGGCATATCACAGCCTTTCTCGAAATTTAGTTGAGTTCTTTACAAAAATGATTAAATTGTACAGATTTATTGATACTACAACAATGATTTATAATCTGATTTATTCCATAATAACATTCGTGACTAAAAAATTTCCCATATATTTGTTTCAAGTAATGATTAAGTGTTTTGCTTATTTTAATATCGATTCATTTTATTGTAATAAGTCAATTGATCACAAGACAGTACGAGTATATTTAATTGCTAAATAGTTAAAAAGAAATCACGTCAGTATTTATCTATCAGATGATGACGAAAAATTCTTATGTCTCTATGATTAACAAGAAATGTGTGTTGTGTCAATTTCATAAGTAGATGATTTACATTTATTAGTCAATTTCGCCGAACATAATATTAAACTATTGAATGACAATGTTAAATTACTCATATAACAAACTCTTGACAGAGAGAACCTCATAAAAGATTAATTTTCAAGAATTGACAAACATATAATATTTCTCATCTATTTTGACATATTCAAAATGGAAAAATATTTGCAGAAGTATCAGATAATGTTACATGATTTCGATGCATCATTGAGTATAGGTATCGAATGTTTTCTCACTTCCTCATTGGAAAAAAGTTGACAGATCCTCCAATGAAAAACGAACAGCATTAGCGCTCTTTACTTTGAAATATGATAATAAACAAACAATTCTATTTGACATACCCAATCTGTTTCTACTTCATACTAACGAGGGAAGGTTCCCAAGTGTGAATCACCGCTTCGAATCTGGTACTTACCATTTTGTAGAGTTTAGTGAGTACAACATGTGATATAAAGGATTCGTCCCGATACTGGACTTTTAAGGCACTACGAGATACCATAAATGGTGTTCTATAATAGCTGAAGATAAATTGTTAATGGTATTTTTCATACATTGTCTTAACGTAGAGGATTGAAATTTTTATCACACATATATCTAATCAAGATCTTTTATTCCTGAAAGTTTCAGCTCTCTAACTATAACTAGTGGTGAAATACATCGACGAGCTTGCGATATATAAATTTTCGTACTCGATTTTTGTGTACTCAAAAAGTGATTGTGTACTCAAAAAGTGAGTACACTCTAGAATCGGTCAGTGTGTCCGGCCGTCCGGCCGTTAACACGATAACTTTCGAAAGGAGAGTCCGATCGCGATGAAATTTTCTACACAGTTCAGTCTTAACAATATCTCGGTCGAGTTCGAAGATGAGAAGGATTGGCCGAGCCCTTCCTGAGTTATTGCAAAAATACTCATTTTTCCCTGCACCTTCCCTATGGAAAGATCGACCCATCCCCACTTTCGTAAAAGACTTTTCCTATCATAGTCAACTAAAACCCCAACTACTATATACCATTCGATAGAGAATTTCACGAGCTACAAAATGGTATATAAAACATAAAGAAACAAGAAGGTTGGCTCATCTATCACAAAGATAATTAAAGAGAACTAGGTTATATTTTTGTCCACGATCTAATTGATCCATAAATAGAGCTCTATCTTCCGATCACAGTGATGATACTTCGAGGTTTTCTAAGATGGAGAACTCGAATCTATATTCCACTTCCATCGAAATACTATTGGTTGAGCAGTGACCAATAGAAATCAAGTTATAGGAAAAACGACTTTCTTAGGGTAAATCGAGGGGAAGAGTTCAAATTTGAGCTGTATTCGGTCCCAAGTCCTATTGGTTTGGCAATGCTCAATAGAAATCAACCGTTTAGAGGGTAGGTTCTCCAGTATAATTTTGATGTCCACACGTTCTAGAACGACTCATCTGTCTCATTCACTTTTTGAAGTACACATAACTCTCGGATTTAAATCCGAAGTTTCCGCATTTATTGCATTATACAGTGAAAATAACGCAGGTGTCGAGTACGAAAATTTATATATCGCAAGCTTGTCGATGTATTTCACTACTAGTTATAGTTAGAGAGCTGAAACTTTCAGGAATAAAAGATCTTGATTAGATATATGTGTGATAAAAATTTCAACCCTCTACATCAAGACAAAGTATGAAAAATACCATTAACAATTTATCTTCAGCTATTATAGGACACTCTTTATGGTATCTCGTAGTACCTTAAAAGTCCAGTATCGGGACGGATTCTTTATATCCCATGTTGTACTCGCTGAGCTCTACAAAATGGTAAGTACCAGATTCGAAATGGTGATTCACACTTGGGAACCTTTCCTCGTAAGACCATTCACTCTTTAATTGATAACGCATAAAATATATATTATACTCGAAAAGCTTAACATTTAAACAACAAAACTGTTGTAATGAAAGTTACAGCATTGTTTTTCTTCAACTCGCTGAAGCTCACAACTTTTCGTTAATGTTAATAACAAACCGTCAAAACAATATTTTCGAACATTATTCTTGTGAATATGAATATCCTTGAAAAATAAGTGCTAATTTTAGATGTAGAGAAGCTCACCACGCCTGAAAACCTTCCAGAATCCTTTCAAGATGATATTTTTTTAAAAAAATCGAATTTCAATGCTTTGACTGTCCTGAACTAGAACTGTTGTTATTAATCATTGAGATTCATTGAGTCTCAGAGTGCTACATTTCACGATACAGAAATGTTGTGAGAGTATAAGTGTAGTATGGTTCTTCTGTTCATTCACACCTGCCTCCTACTATAGAATAAACAATCATTTACAGTTAATCAATTAAATAAGAGATAGCCAAAAAATTGTATTCGACAAGTCAAATGATCTCATACGTTCTATTGGATTCATAGTTATTTCGATAAAATCTTTTATTAATACAATGGATACAATAGTAGATTCTAGATACTTACTAGTAAACTCTGCTAATTAGGTGTAGTACCGTTTGCGAGAGTTGTCATTCTCATTCACAGTAAATAGACGCCTTTTGTGTTCTCTTCACAGATTTCTCAAAAATTGAACTGCTTCCTCCGAAGTTCATATGAATCATTCAACAAAATTGTAATTTGAGTCATTCAACTATTTAAGAATATCAAAATTCGGAATTTCAAGATAGCATTGAGGGACTATGTTTTTTAAGCATAAACTTATATACGATGACACATAACCTATGGTGCGAAAATCTTGGCACGAAATGTTTGTACTTAGATGCTATTGAAGAGAATGCAATGTAGTCAGCTAGAATCAGATTTTCATGGTCTGTCTAAATATATTATCCGAATTTTTTTTCTACAATAAAGCTATTTAACTTAGAATCAAATAACTGACTAAATCAAAGCTAATGTTTTGCGCCAAATAAGAAAGACTTTTTCTTGTTATTTCTAACTTCTCTGTATTACATTTTAGAACACCTTTTATTCTATATTGTTATAGATTGTTTAATTTTCTACAAAATCATGAGTTACAATAGACCAGAGCTCAAAAAACAAATAAAAGATTACAGGTATTCTTCGAAGAGTTCTACTATTCGTAGATCTTTTTTTTTTAATCGGTTTTTTTTTGCTGAATTTTCCTTTCTAAAGCGTGATAGATTTTTGAGCCAATATTGTTACACGTAAAACGAAGAGTAAGTTAAAAATTTTGTAGAGCGAAGTTGGCTCTGCAAATTCGTATATAAAAAGATTTTCTATCATTTGAGTTCGGACAGCTTTAATCGGCAATACAAAAAATTCTGTACAAAGGTATCTTTTGGATTCATTCAAGTATTTATTCCTAGTTAATCATCCATAAGTGAGAACATAATTCTGAACATATATTTAGAAAGACCATAAAAATCTGATTTAAACTAACTACTTTTCATTCTTTCCACTGACGTTTAAATAATAGAAAACTGAACAGACATTTTGTGCCAAGACTTTCACGCTATAGGTGAACTGTTTGTTTTCTCATTTATTGATACTGTTGTTTTTGCTTTTTCTGATGTTGATAATACATTAAAAAAATTCGAGAATATTATTTTTGTGTTTCTTTTATTTGCAGTGACATCAAGAGAGCAATTCTTGACTTTATAATGTTAATGTACATGAAAAACGTAAAAGTAAAATCTGTATTAATTTAACTTTGAACACAGTGCTATCAAAACATCGGATAAAGTTAAGATCGCACGATAATTCTTTATTTTCATACAGTTGTCAAATATAAATGAATATGTCTAGTTTGCATTATATTGAACCCCCATTAACCTTTTTTCATGTCGTTTTAGATACTCGTGGACATGTGAGACGATGAGAAAATATAAAGATAATTCAGAAAGTAATGGCAGATTCTTCTTGGTGTATCATTTTTCTTTTTATGTAAAGAATGCAACTACCATATTGGATAAGTTTTTCGTTCATGCATTATCCATGTACGAACAAGTTCTTTTATTGAATTTAAGATAGTACAGCTGGATTTTCAGCAGTCACATAAAAGTGAAAAATTCATGTTCTGAAGAATATTCAGGAACTGAGAAATAAGAATTCATCGTTGATTTTATCACACCGTTCTACAATTGTCAATATCAAATAAACACAGTATACATGACATGTTTTGCTCTCAAATTAATATCAATAGTAAAATATGTGGTTGT